CCATAGTAGTAGAGGTGTAGTGAAGGAGAACATAGGTGAGGGCAACCGAATTGTACTTATCACAAATTACAGAGTTAATTGGTAAAATAGGAAAACCATATCGTAAATCGTTAATTTGCAAAATATCAATCCATCATATCGAACTGAACTGTTCCTGTTGCAAAACATCAATCCATTGTCTGACATTTCACTGTTCATGCATTTAATAAAAATTTCATAGTGTTCCCATTCTCCCTTTCTTGATCTTCCCCCATCTTCTGCTGCCAGACATTACGTTTTTACTCGCGTCATATACTACTTATAAGTAGCGCGCACCACAGAGTTAGTGAAAGTATTAGCAGTAATCGGAGAGATTAGGTTTCAAGGATTATTATTCAAGAAGTATAATCCAATGAAATAGCTTCAGGAAAGGAAAGATAGAGGTGATGAAGAATTCAGAAGGTTAGGATTTGAGAGAACACAAAGAATGAATGCACCTGCACCATTGCAAACGATTTTGAGCCTTTTCATTAAATATCTTATTGAAATAAATCAGTGTCATAGTGATGAACAAAATAATACACTGGGACTCGAACCCAGACTGATCAATTGTGGCTCTAAAAAATCAATAAGAAAATTCAAACAACCTGTAAAAATGAATTTCGTTTTTAGTAGTTTTGTGAAAATTTACTGAGTGTGTATTTTGGCATAATAATATAAGATATTGACGACACATCAAAAATATAAATATAGATTTATAACTGTACACGTAATAACACTATAAAAATGAGCGAGGATAAAATAATAAATTCTGAATTATTTACAAAAAATCCTAAACACGAAACATTAATTTATGCGTCACCTAGAAAATTATAATCATAAAAGGATAATTCAAATGTCTAATTCACTTATACAATCGAGTCCTATATCAGGAAGGAACGGCTATCCAGTAGTGCTTCCAGGTTTCTAATGGTGACCTAACAATGATCGATTCATGATTGCAAATTAGTCCCACAAGTTATCACTTCTTGATATTTTTCCCCGTTATATATGATGTGCATCATAGTGTGATTTTTGTTACAGGTAATTAACTTTAACATTTACTCGAAAATATTCTTAATGTTCTAGTGAGAAATTGTGACTGATGAAGTTCAAACTTGTTAGGAGTGAAACGGTTGTTGGTCGGTTAATGATTTCACTATTTGCAAAATTAAATAAAATTAAAACTGAACTACTGAAACCCAACCCAATAATTCGTAGCCTGACTTGAAGATCCTCTGTCGGATTCCTGGTGCGATCGTAGGTTCACACCACTGAGGAATCTCACACTTTGACGAAATACTTAGCTGATGTTGTCCGATTCGAAACTATCAATCAGTCAACAGCAACGTAGAACTTCGTACATAAGTATATCAGTCCAAGTTGTCATGCTACATTAGCACAGAGGCGCAATTGTCAATTCAAATCCCATAGTAGTAGATGTAGTAGGAGTATGAGCAGTAATGGAGAAGATTAGGGCTCGGAGATATTATTCGAGAAGTGTAATTCATTGAGATAACTTTAAAAAGAGAAAGATAGAGATGATGAATTGAAAAGTTTAAAATTTGAGAGAACACAAAGAATGTATGCACCTGCGCCATTGCAAACGGTTTTGAGCCATGTCAATCAGGGTCTCTAACCATCGGTGACTTTCGTCTCGTGGACCCCAACCAGGTAGTCGACACCTACCAGCATGTCTCAGTCCATTTGTCAGTAACTACATGGATTCCTGCCATATTTGGATTTGGCCGCCTTTAGGTTTCTTCCAACCTATTCCTACATCGCAAAACATAGCTCGACGAGGCAGTTGGTGGTTAGGCATTCGTAACCTCTTATTAAAATACTTGAAATAGAAATCTGATAAAAGAAAAAGATACCTCCGTTCTAAAGAATATTTATCATTTAAATGCTGTCTTTGGTAATTTAATGGATGACATATCAACATAGAGCGGGTACTTTTCCCAAATATCATCATTGTGCCATGTTTTGGCTGCCATTAGCTTTCGTTCAGCCTAGTCCTACATCGCAAAACATAGCTCGATTTTAAATTGTGTTCCAATTGAAATCAACCTTTAACGAATACAACTTATAAAATTCCAAAAAAGTCCTTTTTCATATACTTTCTCTTAAATTATATACTAGTTAAATTTTTTTTCGTGTACGTGCAATCTTGTTATCATTCTATATTCAATTCAATCATTTCCTAATTCAATATACCTTTTACCTGTTTTCATTTTCTTTTTTTCCTGCTTCTTCTAATTTAGTTGTTAGATTGGGAATGTGTAAAGATTATATTTTTAATTTGTTATCCTAATCCTTTCCCAGAATATGACAGTATTAAAACACTTTCTATATCAACTGAGGTATGTTGAAATAAGTTGGATTCATTAAACTGTCATCTGTATTCATATCTTCATTCATTTTTTTATGTGTGATTAATGATTGTTTTAAGAGGATATTTCAATTTTGTAATCCATTTTTTAGCTGTTGTATTACTGAAGTTACGTAATTGGGCTAATAAGGGGACTGCACATGACATTATTACCCAAGTCTCATAAATTCAATACCACATAAAGTAGTCTGTGTAGGGTTATATCGTCATATTAGTAAAGTAAAAGATTCCATAAAGTATTAACTCTCCCTCTCTCTGTTTTACATTAGGTGTTATTTTGTTAAAATATAAAGGCTCATCATCTTTCCTTCTTTAATGGTTTATACAAGAAAAAAAGTTACGACGAAAGAGGATTTTCACTTTGAGATGGTGGAGAAAATTTGTAGCTCAGGTGGATGATTATGGGCTGGATGTTTCGGTTGTGGAGCTTTCATTGTTCTTCTGAACAACATCGTCAGTAAAAACGTTAAATAGAAGTAAAGTATTCAAATTTCTCCAAGTATGACGCGTAGCTTGCTCTGTTGACCTTGATGTTGATTGGTTGTTGTTGACCTTAAAACTGACATTGTCTGCAATCCTATGATCTTTTTGATTGGTTGATAAACTGGGTCAATGTCTATGTGTTTGTTGATCGCTAATTGATCCAAGTGCTTATCTTTTAAAAATTCTCTTGTGTTCTTTATGCTCCCCCTATCCAGTATCTCAACATTGTTCCAACAGAATTCATGCTCACAGTTGTCCGTATGTATTGATATAAGGGAAAAAATGTCATGGCATTTCACTGCGAATTGCTCAGATTGTGAAAAACACTACATAGAACAAACTGGACTCTATCAGAATTTTCACTTTGTTACCATAAATGGTTTTGAATATTTTAACTCATCGGTAGTTTACATTGATTCAAAGAAAAAAGTTTTTAGTGGCATAATGTGACAATAAACTTTATGTGAGCAGTCCTAAATATATTTATAGGAAGTTGAGTAATTTTAATTCGTAAAATCAAACTGATAATGTAATAGATGGGGAGCATCAAAATCTGCTGTAATGTTCATGATTAATGAAAATCACTTTTCACTTCACATCCATCTGATGAAACGCGGTTCTTAGGATTCGCATTTATAAAAAGTATCTGATCGATTGTGATCATTAGCACCGACGGCGCAAAGATTCGAACCGTCAAAGCTGAATTATCATTCATCTTATTCATACAAGCTAACATCTATATGGACATTGATCGGAGTATTTGGATCGAAAGGTACTATGTTCGAGTTCCAGATCAAAAGTACACATGGATACAGGTACCTTCGGCTGTAGAGTATTAAGTAAGATTCTACTGTTAGCCACTATCTGACTCTGCTTCAAATATATCGGTATACTCTGTTAGTTATTTCCATAACTAATTGTAGTTATGCCATAACTAACCAATCAGATTTTGGTTGAAGCGCCCACCACGTGATTTCATCTGACGTGTCTGTAAACTTTCTTTGTTGTAAATGACCTACTGATTGAAGGACATTATTATCTCATTATATTTATGTGACTCATAACTGTACTCATTTCCATAAGACACGTTATACTGGTCGGTACGTTTGCTCGTCTTACTTGATAATTGTAATTTCCTTATTTATTGTACTAATTTAATTGTTTTTATGTTTAGAAACAGATAAAGTTTAAAGCAACAGTTGATCTTGTTCTGACTATAGCTTTCCCACGGACTGACTCTGTGCTCGCCAATGTTGCGTTTACCGTTCTAGAATTACATCTGTAGGACAAATTAAATCCTACAACTCTGCTGATAATATCTTGCTGTTTTTTTTATTCCTTTTTTATTTCATTCAATGGTGATTGTAGATGTCAAAGTTTTTATGTGATGCAACAAAAATCATATCACCTAATGAATATAAGAGAATTCTTCCAAAAAGTGAAATAGACATGATTATTCAGTCAAAAGGGAAAGATATACAACAATTACCATCTGTTCCTAAAGGATTAAGGTGAGTGGTAATAATTTTTAGGTGATATATTTTATTGCTATTAGAGCTATGTATATTGCAAATAACTGATTTTGTAAGAAAATATTACAAAAGTATTTGCTTTTCTCTTGGGATCTACGGTAAGATTTTAAGCTAGTATTGATGACTTTAGGTGGATATAGATGAAAACCAACTACCGCAGTGATATGGGTCTCATACTATTGCTCATTGAATGGTTTCAGGAATTTCGCAGAACGTTTAAAATGCATAAATTGGTTGTGATCATGATCAGTAGAGTTCAACCATTTTAGGTACGCAGAAATGCTACTGATTGTATCATATCATCGTAGCACCTCTCTTTAATAAGCTAACTTGAGTTCGAAATGTTTAAGTTCTTATCCTGAGTTGTTGGTTTTAAAGTATCGTTTTCTCTGCTCACCAGATTTAAATGTCCTGTTTGATCTTCCTGGAGTCTCATTGCTTTGTACTCCGCAGCTAGGAAAAAAGCGTTATTTATAATGTTATTTTTAAAAGTTTGAATTATCCGTTATTAATATTCAGGAATGAATTATTGATCAGTGTTCGTTGATCATACGTATGCATCCAGTAAGGATTACGTCGATAGAGCTATTATATCACAAGTTTGAATATTTGCCACAGGTTAACCCATTACCAATAATGATGCTAGACATGAGAACCATATTTTGAAAAAAAATTAGTGATTATCTGGATTCAGTAGTTCAGGTGATCACATTTTAACATTGGACGTTAGATCCAATATGAAACATCAATACTGGGATATGTAAATGTATGCAACTAATGTTTCACAGATAGATGAACCATGCTGTTGGTCACAATCGATCTTATTCCAACTGTGTTTACTGTTTGATAGATTATTCAGTTCAGAACATTTCTCGTATTGATTAACAACGTCTTCATGTTTTCAAAATCCTTTGAAAGTTCACATATAATATCATCATAACTAATGAATAGTTGGAAATGCTGAAGATTTATTTTATTTTTTTTAAAATTATTTCCTATTTTCAATACTTTTAGTTTTCTGACCAAATCTATGTATTATTTAATTGCTGATCATTATATGAAGAATAATCATTTTGAGTAAGTTATGTTTTATTCGTTTCCATATGTAATTGTTACGTATTGATTACATGCATGCATCAGTCGTGATAGCTGATCGGTGTCACATTCCATGATTTACCTTTCTGTTACTACACATAACTACCTATCCACTCTTTTGAAATGCTTAGTTAACTCACTGGTTAAGTAAAAGTTAGTGTATTCAGATTTAAGGTAAACCAGATTGTGGTGTGGTCCGGTGATATTATTCAGTTGCATGAATATAAGACATTCATATTTCAAAGATCTTAATGCAGCTTTCTTATACTGCATACCTTCAAACCCTAGTCTTCTCCATTACCATTAATACCTCTTCTATCTTTATCACTATGGGATTTGATTTGACATCTGCGTCTTTGTGCTAATGTGGTATGGCAACATGAACTTATGTACATACGTACGTAGTTCTACGTTGCAACTGACTGACTATACTGCATACCAGAATTGTGTATATTGTTGAATAAAACTAATGGAATCATAGTGATTATGAATGAGTGGCTTAGTCAATTCACGAACTCAAATCAGTTGTTTGTCTTTACCTTGTATCACCCATTCAGCAATTCACTTATTATCCGAAAATGGTTTTTTCCACCTCTTTGTCAAGTATAGAGCGTTGTTACGTGTTGTACGTAGACGTTTCCATTGCATTTTTTGAATTCCTAAACATAGACTAGCAAAAATGTGACTGACTTTTATGTCACAGAAAAGCGATGGATATTCGCTGTGTAAACTCCAACTTCTGCATAAGAAAAGAACTTATTCACTGCTGCAACTCGTTTACATTCTTTTCTCGGTTTTGTTTGCGTAATCTACTCCTTTTTTTAATCACAATTAGTCAATATCGTTCGTTTTGCGTTTTGTTTGTTTGATTTTCATTTAGTCGTGCTGTTGAGTATTACTTACAAGATTTACGTGTCTCTCCACAACGTGTCGATACATGGGCATCGTTAGGTTTAATTTATTCAAGTGAATTGGAACAAGTTTTAAATTTGGTAATTTTTAATGAATACTGATGATGATTTTTATAATCTTTTCTCTATGGTATATATTTATATATATTATTTATTGGTTGATTTAATAAAATGTTTTTAGCTTTATTGTCAAAAGTATGATTGGTCGTGCATAAGTCAATCAAAACTCCTCATCTGATTGGTCAGTTAATTTAAACATATCATTCAAATGACAATCTAGTTGAAGTGTATAGTTATAATAGAGTGGCAACTCAGTTAACTTAAGTGGCCATCACGGTGGTTTAGGTTCTCTCTTCATTCTACTCATAGTATTTTGTAGGATTTAATTTGTCCTACAGACGTACTTCTAGAACGGTAAACGCAATATTGACGAGCACAGAGTCTATGGGAAAGCTATAGTCAAAACAAGACCAATTTTTGCTTTAAACTTTATCTGTTTCTAAACATTAAAAACAATTACATTAATACAATAAATAAGAAAATTATATTTATCAAGTGAAACGAGCAAATGTACCGACCAAATATAGCGTGTCTTATGGAAATGAATAAAGTTATGAGTCACATCAATAATAATAAGATAATTATGTCCTTCGATTAGTAGGTCATTTACAACAAAGAAAGTTTACAGACATGTCAGATGAGATCATGTGGTGGGCGCTTAAACCACAATTTGATTGGTTAGTTATGGCATAGCTACAATTAGTTTTGCAAATAACTAACATTTATCTCGTTTTAATCTAAGCTATCTCAGAAGATTTTGTTAAATATTAATTTCGTGAATTGTTTATGTCAAGAAAAATCACTTTCAGTTTCTTTATTCGTGGAGTTCATAGTTTTATTGTATGATTAACAAGTTTTTTACAAGGTTATTGAGTTCACCGAATGTTATCTATCCTGCTCTTTGTATAATGAGATTCATTTTGAGATGACAAACACAAATCCGATTTGTGTACACTCGATAATCAACACAACTTTATACGATCAATTGGATCAGTAAGTTTTTACACTAGATGAGAAAACTTATTATTTGATTAGATAATCAATGGATATATCAGGTCGCCATATTGAAATTGAATAGTTGTTGAGAGCTAGTTACAAGCCAGCGTATAAGCATTCAGTCAACCGAGAGCATAGTCTAGGTTGAATCAACAATGGAATGGATTTACAGTATTATTTGGTCTCGTATATTTAATATAACTGTCTATCTTCACTTATTAACCGATCAAAACTTACCTTCACTAAAACATCAGACTTACATTGAATGTCCACCATAATAAAAATTAATGAATGATGTAAAACACTTTTATTATTCAACAGGATTTAAAATATAAGAAAACAATTGTGTTCATAATTATCAAATTATTATTTGTATAGATTTATATCATTAAAGGGAATAATGTCACATCCGAAACAACATCAATCAAATCTACAGTAGCGATACTCTTATAAAATACGTTTTTGAAGAAATTGCTAGCTAGTAGTGGATATTGTAGGTATCAACTTGAAGGTTATACATTCGTGATACTGATTTGATTGGACGAAATTTTCATGAAATCATCTAATTGAGGTTCTCATCACGAGGAATAAAAAAGTAATTAGTTTGCCTTTGGCTTATCTCAGTTGCATTCATTATACAGTGTTTGTTCATCATGAAAATGTGAAATATCAATCCCCTAATACTTTGAACTGAAAATTCTATCTCTCTTTGCTAATGTGATACAGTAACTTGAAGTGATGTACGTACGTACGAAGTTCTACATTGTAGCTGACTTACTGTCTGACTGACTGACTGTTTATTCATCATTATCCTTAAAAAATATTTCATAATTAAATAAATTCCTAACTAAAAATGTTAGTGATTATAGTGTTGTGTTTTTATTTTCAGACTAATTTAAAAACGGAAAGAATTTCCGCAGAATCTGTTGCTCGTTGTTTACGTTGTTTTAATGTTGCATTACATTTACAACCGGATACTGTCACATTGTTAATTGAACGTGGTTGTTTAGCTTATCAATTGCATTCATATGCTGCTAGAATTGTGAAAAAAGTAAGTTATATATATATATATATATATATATATATATATATATATATATGTCAGTACATAATTTACATTTACAGTATATTTTTGATAGTATTAAGATTTTATCTGTATGAATATGTCAATAATACAATGTGTCTGTTCAACAAACACTCACAGTTCTACTGAGAAGACGTGACCAGTGGTGTTTAGCTTTGTTTAAGATAGGCAGTTACCTATCGAAGACAATGGGTGAGGTAGTGTAATACTTGTTGGGTTGAGTGAAGTTAGTCATTTACACTGTTGGATGCCGGTTCAGTGGTCTAAAGTTTAAGCATTCTCGCGCGAGACTAATGTTCGTGGGTTCGATTCCCGCAACCCGGGGTTGTT